CAAGATGTTTGGAACAACCTATTCAACTCACCACAAGCCCAACATCACTCAAGGCAGCTGAAGACCTCCAGTGTATGTCTACACTAAATCCAGAAGAAGCACAGTGACTAAGTGGTTAGCACTTCTGCCTTGCAGCACTAGGGTAGTCAGATCGAATCCCAACCATAACACTACCTGACTGGAGTTTGCATGTTCTCCCTGTGCCTGTGTGGGTTTCCTCGGGATACTCCAGTTTTCTTCCACATTCCAAAGACATGCTGGTAAGTTAATTGGCTCCTGCCTGAATTGGGCCTAGTACAACCCCTGACAAAAAGTATGGAGTCACCACTCTTGCAAAATGTTCATTTGATTGTGTAGAAAAAAAAAACAACCACAGACATGCCTCAAAACTATTTTCATGTAACATTCCAACCTTCTGGCTTTAAGAAACACTTAAAGAAATAAAAAAGAAAAAAAAACTGTAGTCAATTGCAACTGTTTTTTGCAGATCAATCAGAGGAAAAAAAAATGGAATCACTCAATTCTGAGGAAAATATTATGGAATCACCATGTACTTTGCAGTTCTAAAACAAACATCTGCATCAGATTCCATCTGCTAATTAGTCTGCAGTTAAAAAATAACTGAAATCAATTGCTTCCTGTAACCATCAATGAGTTTCTTACACATCTCTGCTGGAATTTTGGACCACTCTCCTTTCGCTAACTGCTCCAGGTCTCTTAGATTGGAAGGGTTCCTTTTCCCAACTGCTGTTTTGAGATCTCTCCACAGGTGCTCTATGAGATTGAGATCTGGACTCATTGCTGGTCAGTTCAGTACTCTCTAGCGCTTTGTCTGAAACCATTTCTGGGTGTTTTTTGATTTGTGCTTTGGGTCATTGTCCTGCTGTAAGACCCATGACCTCTGACAGAGCCCAACTTTCTGACACTGGGCTGTGCATTGCATCCCAGAATTCTTTGGTAGTCTTCAGATTTCATAATGCCATGCACACGATCAAGACATCCAGTGCCTGAAGCCATAAAGCAACCCCAAAACATCAGTGAATCCATCATGCTATATAAACTCAATGTAATGTAATGTAATGTTTGCCTGCAGGGACTGTATTCTTTTCTTTAAGGGCCTCATTTCTATCTCTGAAAACGGTAGAATGATGGGCTTTACCAAAAAGTTGTAATTTTGTTTTGTCCATCCATAGCACATTCTCCCAAAACGATTTAGGCTTCCTCAGGTAAAAATTTTCGCAAACACCAACCTGGCTTTTTTATGTTTCTGTGTCAACAGTGGGGTCCTTTTGGGTCTCCTACCATAGCATCCCTTTTCATTCAGATGGTGACGTAAGTGGAGCTGCCAGAATTGTACCCTTTGCCCAAAGGTCAGCTTGAATTTGTCTGGAAGTTGATCGAGGTTCTTTATCCACCATTCGGGACAATCCTTCGTTGCAATCTTTGATCAAGTTTTTCTCTTTCATCCACGTCCAGGGAGATTAGCTACAGTGCCATGGGCAATTAACTTCTTGACAATGTTGTGCACAGTGGACACAGGAATATTAAGATCTGTTATTTGATACAGGTGAGTTTAATTACAAATTATAGGAGCATCACAAACATGGAATGCAAATATTACTTACAATTTTGAGAAGGTGCCAATAATTTTGTCCAGTCCATTTTTGGGGTTTTGAGGGGAAATGTGTTAGATTTGTCTTTTTTATTTCTCCACTTTTTTGTGTCATACTAAAACAAGCAAAATAAATAAACATGAGCATGCCTAAACATTTGTAACTGCAGCAATTGTCTGGGCGAAGTATTACATTATCTGCCAGAAATGCAGGGGTGCCAATATTTTTGGCCATGACTGTATATGTATGAATGTGAGTTAGGGACCTTAGATTGTAAGCTCCTTAAGGGTTAGGAACTGTATACATACCTGTAATAAATAATAAAGAAAAGCAATGGCAGCCACTTGGAACAATTTATAACATAAAAAAGGGGGTTCTCTTTGGCGTGGAGACACCGAACAATACAATAATTCCACTTCATCCTGCCAGTCAGCACCACTGAGCAAGATGTACAGCCTGCAAATCTAGTAAGCAAACAGAAGTACTACAAAATGGATATAAGAATAAGGTATAATAAACTTACAAGGTGTTATAATTATACATATAAAATCAGCATACTTTCTCTTTAAGTCACATTTTGATCCCCTTGCCTCCTATCTTGTGCAGTCCACATGGTGCTCTAGAATCGTGTTCAGAGTTCTCGGAGAGATCAGGGTGACGTTTGGGTGGTCCTGGCTATCAAAGATTACAGGCGAGTCAAGGAAACAATGACCTCTAGGTCCAGCTATTTTCTAATTTGGTGCTTCTGTTTCGTCTGAGTGAGCCCAGCAAAGACCCGGGCACGCAGGGTCTAGGAGGGGAGAGAGCCCCATGTGGGAAGATTGGAGATGGGTTTTCACAGGCTACAGAGTGATGGGCTGGGGACAGACTGGTAATTGGGCAGGTTAGTGGGGGGTCAAGAGGATTGTTTTCAAAAACATGTCAAACAAGAGCATTTTAATGAGGCCAAGGAGATGGAGAGGTGGTGGAATGTGAAAGAAGTTGTCTGAGAACCTGAAGACATTGAGACAATAAGAGAAGAGAGTCACCAAGGTACTTAAAAAGAAAAGAAAAAAAAACATTACTTGGAGACTCACTGGAACAAAATTCACATTTTTTTTAATGTTGGTGTATGTTATGTGCATGCAACAAAATTTAAGGCTTGCTTATTCATCAGTGCCCATCGCCCAATATAAAAACATTGCATCTGCATTTGTCAAAAAACACCTGAGAGGAAAAGTTAAAAAAAATTGATTCCTTATATCCTGGATTCACTCCACATCATGTGGAAAAGGGGGGGGGCTGAACTGCACCGGAACATCTTGTAAGTTTTGGGATCCTGATAGTTCCCAAGATCTCATCAGAAGGCCCCCTCCTTTGTTAGCCCAGGCAGAAGCTAGGGTATAAATTAAGTATATTTGTAATTCTTCCCCTAATCATTGATTTTTACAAATGTTTACTGCCTTGTTTTTTACAGGAAGGAGGACAGCAGGGACCTAAAGATTAAGAGAACCCTGTCTGCAACTTGTTTTATAACCATCCGTGGTGCAAAAGACTGCATCTTACTGATTCTTAGATGTCGCCACAACATTAATTTCTTTTAGGCTTTTTTTTTCTTTGTTATCACCTTTTGATCCTGGAAGTAAGGTATTTTTCAACTGTGCCAAGCTGTACAACAAAAGTAATAAACCCAAATAAAGCAGTGCTTCTATATGTTAAATGTCCATCAAATGTAGGTGTTGCATTCATGAAAACAGTAAATTAATAAAGCAAATTATATTGTGAATATATATAGCGTCCAATAACCTGAACTGGTGCCAAAATGTGAAGTTTTAAAATGGTAATCACCACTTTTCCTGCCACCCAATGCGATCGCACTCACCAATTATTATGACTAGAGATGAGCGAATTATTCAAAAATTCGGTTCGGCTGATTCGCCGAATTCGCCGAATAAATTCGCTTCGAGCCGAATATATTCGCTGCGAATTTAACTTATAAAAAGGGTGTTTCTAGGCTTCAGAGAGCCTTTATATTATTGCAGAACACTGTACCTTTAATTTAAATGCCCCTTGGAGTCTGCTGGGGAAGAGAAATAATACTGTCAGTCAGTATGACATGCAGATGAGTGCCGTCGATCTTAGAATCACCGCACACTTCACTCATTTGGGCAGTCACGGGGCCAAAACCCAGAGTGTGGAGCCACAGTGTGGCGGTGGAGGCAGCAGCAATGGGAGGCCATACAGCACCCTATGACAAAATGGAACCCACCAGCAGTGTGAGGAGACCTGAAAGTGGCACATGGCAGAGTGTGGCGATGGAGACAGCAGCAATGGGAGGCCGTACAAGGACCCATGACACACTCTGGACCTGGCAGCAGCATGAGGAGGCGGTACAGGGGCCCATGACAGATTACGGGCCTGGCAGCAGCATGAGGAGTCGGTACGGGGGCCCATGGCAGATGATACAGGCCTGGCAGCAGCAGCATGAGGAGGCGGTACAGGGGCCCATGGCAGAGTGTGGCGGAGCGTAAGCAGCTAAAATTGAAGGCCATACAGAGGCCTATGTTAAAAAGTCCCCCCAGCAGCAGCGTGGGGAGACGACTATCAAGAGTCCAATGGCAGAGTGGCGGAGCGGAAGCAGCTTCAATTGAAGGCCATACACAGGCCTATGTTAAAAAGTCCCCCCAGCAGCAGTGTGGGGAGACGACTATCAAGAGTCCAATGGCAGAGTGGCGGAGCGGAAGCAGCTTCAATTGAAGGCCATACACAGGCCTAGGTTAAAAAGTCCCCCCAGCAGCAGTGTGGGGAGACGACTATCAAGAGTCCAATGGCAGAGTGGCGGGCGGAGCGGAAGCAGCTTCAATTGAAGGCCATACACAGGCCTAGGTTTAAAAGTCCCTCACAGTTTAATTCCAATAACAAACTCTACTCCTCCGTGCAATCTACTTACGAGACCCTGGGCAGGTCTGGGTCCAATTTTGTGGGTAGAGACTGGTTTTGTTCAGCCATGCTTGAGCGAGTAATAACAGGTCTGTGCTGCTCCCTTTGGTGTCTGGCTTAATGCGTACAACACTGAACGTCCCAGCGTTTGTCAACGGTTTTCCGTTAAGTGATGCAAACCCGCTGAACCACGTTCATGAGGAGCCGGTACAGTGGGGCCATGAATCAGTATGGACCTGGCAGCAGCGTGAGCAGACGACAGAGGCCACATGGCGCAGGGTGGCGGTGTAGGCAGCATTATTCTGAAGCCATACACAGGCCTAGGTTAAAAAGCGGAAGCCGTCAGCAGCGTGAGCAGACGACAGAGACACATGGCGCAGGGTGGCGGTGGATGCAGCAGTATTTGGAAGCCAAACACAGGCCTCGGTAAAAAGCGGGGGGAAGCCGTCAGCAGCGTGAGCAGATGACAGAGGCACATGGCGCAGGGGTGGCGGTGGAGGCAGCAGCAATGGAAGGCCATAACAGCACCCTATCACAAAATGGAACCCACCAACAGTTGTAAGGAGACCTGAAAAGTGGCACATGGCAGAGTCTGGCGATGAAGTCAGCAGCAATGGGAGGCCGTACAGGGACCCATGACACACTCTTGGACCTGGCAAGCAGTAAGAGGAGGGGTACAGGGGCCCATGGCAGAGTGGCGAAGCGTAAGCAGCTTAAATTGAAGGCCATACAGAGGCCTATGTTAAAAAAGTCCCCCCAGCAGCAGTGTGGGGAGACGACTATCAAGAAAGTCCAATGGCAGAGTGGCGGAGCTGGAAGCAGCTTCAATTGAAGGCCTTACACAAGGCCTAGGTTAAAAAGTCCCCCCAGCAGCAGTGTCGGGAGACGACTATCAAGAGTCCAATGGCTGAGTGGCGATCCGGGAAGTCAGCGTTGGTGATTGCAGATGCAATGCAGAAATTCTACGAAGTAATGCCGTGGGTGCGAAGAAGATCATATACCGTCGTACTTCCATCCATAAGACGGAACAACCTGTGAACCGGAAGCTTTATTGCCCTGAGCAGCTTCTGGGATACCCAAGAGGCCCATGGCAGAGTGGCGGAGCGGTAAGCAGCTTCAATTAAAGGCCATACAGAGGCCTATGTTAAAAAGTCCCCCCAGCAGCAGCGTGGGGAGACGACTATCAAGAGTCCAATGGCAGAGTGGCGGAGCGGAAGCAGCTTCAATTGAAGGCCATACACAGGCCTAGGTTTAAAAAGTACCCCCAGCAGCAGTGTAAAGGTCGTGTTTAGGGAGACGACTATCAAGAGGTACCAATGGCTGAGTGGCGATCCGGGAAGTCAGCGTTGTGATTGCAGATGCAATGCAGAGATTCTATGAGGTGATGCCGTGGGTGCGAAGAAGATCATATTACAGTCGTACTTCCATCCATAAAGACGGAACAAACCTGTGAACCGGAAGCTTTATTGCCCTGAGCACTTCTGGGATACCCAAGAGGCCCATGTGGCAGAGTGGCGGAGCGTAAGCAGCTTCAATTAAAGGCCATACAGAGGCCTATGTTAAATAGTCCCCCCAGCAGCAGCGTGGGGAGACGACTATCAAGAGTCCAATGGCCAGAGTGGCGGAGCGGAAGCAGCTTCAATTGAAGGCCATACACAGGCCTAGGTTAAAAAGTTACCCCCAGCAGCAGTGTGGGGAGACGACTATCAAGAGGTCCAATGCTGAGTGGCGATCACGGGAAGTCAGCGTTGTGATTGCAGATGCAATGCAGAGAATTCTATGAGGTCGATTGCCGAGGGGTGCGAAGAAGATCATATACCGTCGTTACTTCCACCCATAAAACGGAACACTACCTGCGAACGGGAGCTTTATTGCCCTGACCCGCTGAGCAGCTTCTGGGATACCCAAGAGGCCCATGGCAGAGTGCGGAGCGTAAGCAGCTTCAATTAAAGGTCATACAGAGGCCTATGTTAAAAAGTCCCCCCAGCTAGCAGCGTGGGGAGACGACTATCAGAGTCCAATGGCAGAGTGGCGGGAGCGGAAGCAGCCTTCAAAATTGAAGGTCCATACACAGGCCTAAGTATTAAAAAGTCCCCCCAGCAGCAGTGTGGGGAGACGACTATCAAGAGTCCAATGGCAGTGTGGCGATCCGGGAATCAGCGTTGTGATTGCAGATGCAATGCAGAGAAATTTTATGAGGTAATTGCCGTCGGGTGCGAAGAAGATCATATATCGTCGTACTTCCATCCATAAGACGGAACAACCTGCTGAACCTGGGAGCTTTATTGCCCTGACCGCCGCTGAGCAGCTTCTGGGATTACCCAAGAGTTTGGCTTCTGTGGGGAATATGGTTTGAAAACTGAAACTTAAAGGCATGTTGACGGAAGGGCACCAGTGTCAGTGCTCCGGAGGGAATATAAGCTTCAAAGCTGACGACTTAAAGGGTATATCGACGGTCAGAGAACCACAGGAGTGGAGCTTGCGTCTTAAATCGAGCTGAATGTGGCAGACGTGAAACGTCTACGGGCCGTATACAAAAAAACTGGTTGTTCCTCTTTCTGGAATAAGTTGTTGGAAATGGGCCACTCTTTTTGGTGTGGCGTTTTGTCTATTAATTCCGATAACGGACTCACACCTCCCTCCGTGTAATCTAGTTACGAGACCCTGGGCAGGTCTGGGTCCCAATTTGTGGTAGAGACTGGTTTTGTTCAGCGCCATGCATGAGCGAGTAAATAACAGCGTCTGTGCTGCCATTTGGTGTCTGGCTTAATGTCGCACAACACTGAACGTCCCAGCATTTGTCAAACGATTTGCCGTTAAGTGATGCCAAACCCGGCTGAACCACGTTCATGAGAAGCCTGGAGGTACAGGGGGCCATGAATTCAGTATGGACCTGGCAGCAGTGTGAGGGGAACACGAAAGTGGCACATGGCGCGCAGGGGTTGCGGTTGGAGGGCAGCAGTATTCGGAAGACATACACAGGACTAGATTAAAAACGCGGAAGCCGTCAGCATCGTGAGCAGACGACAGAGGCACATGGCGCAGGTCGGTGCGGTGAGGCAGCAGTATTCGGAAGCCATACACAGGTGCCTAATGGTTAAAAAGCGGAAAGCCGTCAGCATCGTGAGCAGACGACAGAGGCAAATGGGCGCAGGTGTGGCGGTTGGAGGCAGCAGTATTCGGAAGCCATACACAGGCCTAGGTTTAAAACTGGAACACCAGCAGCGTGAGCAGACGACAAAAGACGCACATGGCAGAGGGATGGATCTGGCAGCAGTATGAGAAGGCGTACAGAAAGGGCCCGTGGCACAGTGTGGTTTGATGGGGTGCTTACAGCAACTGGATGCCAGAAAGTGGCCGATAGTGGCTATTATACTGGCAATGAAATATAAAGTTGTAAAGACAGCGCCTATAAGGCTATTTACACACTATAACAATCATGACTTATTTGACCATTGGCCTATAAGGCTATACACAGCATGAATATCATGACTTATTCTGAGAGTGGTTTGGAAGGCTAGTATACAAAAGTAATTCATGAGCTGTCCGGACAGCGGACAATAAGTACATATATACAAATCAATTCATCAGCTGTCCAGCCAGCGGCCTCAAAGGGCGACACATATAGAAAGCACAATTCATGAGCTTGTTCAGACAGCGGCCTCTAAGGCGACAGATATACAAAGCAATTCCCGAGGTGTTCAGGGAGCGGCCTGAACGGCTAGGTTATTACTAAATATATTTTTTGTGGCCAAACATCGGCGCCTATAAATAGATGTCTACACAGTGACAAAAAATTATGTCGCCAGACAGCGGAGGCCCCCTAAGGCGACAGTATATACAAAGCAATTCCTATAATATGATGTCTACACACGTGACAAAAAAGTAGGTCGCCTTTACAGCGGGCGTATCCTACAAATTGACAATATAAGAAATGGTTTTAGACCAAAAAAAAAAAAAAAAAAACTTTGATGCGATGCTATACCTTAGTAGAATTGTGGGAAAGTCGACAAGTCAAGCGTAACTGTGTACATTACAGAAAATCTTAACAAGACAACCAAACATGTGGCCAAACCGTGACCGATATACAACAAGTTAACAATGTAAGAAACAGGAGGGGGCCAAACCGTGGCCAATAAATAAACAGTCCACCTCATTGATGAGATGGACAACACGTGTCAAATAAATATTTTAAAAAATTGCTATTCCATCGGTCTGGAACTGGTCGACTATAAATAATTAAAAAGTTTAAATTCATGTGACAGTCGTCCAGCGACGTATAAATAATTTAAAAACACCAATTCATGAGGGGCCCGACCAGCAGAGTATAAGTCATTAAAAAGGTTCAATTCATGTGTGACGGTCGTCCAGCGAAGTATAAATAATTTTTAAAAACCCCAATTCATGAGGGGCCCGACCTGCAGAGTATAAGTCATTAAAAATGTGCAAAACATGAGTCGGTCCGACCAAGCAGCCTCTCAATAAAATATATATACAAATGTACGGATCAGGTGGAGGTCTTTCCATTTGTCCCTAATAACATGTTTGGGGCATGATTCATGGCGGATTTAGTCAGTTGTGTCAGGAACTGGTGGTTTGAAATCCAGGCTAATCCACGCCTGATTCATTTTCACAAACGTGAGTCTCTCCACACTTTGGGTGGACAGTCGTGTCCTCCGCGGAGTTACAATACCTGCCTGCCGCACTAAACACGCGCTCCGATGCCATGCTACTGGCCGGGCATGACAGCCTTTCAAGGGCAAATTCAGCTACTTGGGGCCAAAGGTCAAGTTTCGTTGCCCAGTAGTCAAGGGGATTGTCTATCTCGGTTGGCAGGGTGCTGTCCAAGTAGGCCCAAGCCTGTTGTTTGAGGTCCTACTCCAGGTCCACCTGATGCTGCTGCTGCTGTGGCTGGTTAGTAGTTTCCTCAACTGCGCTGGTTGAAGAAATCTACTCATCATCGACTGCAGACTGAGGCAGCCGCTGCTGGTGGAGCTGCCACTGCTCCTACCACCCACCCCTCCCCTGCTGCCATAGCAGCGGAACGCGAGCGCACAGGGCCCACAGTGTCTGAGGATGGACGTTGGCGCAGAAAGGCAGAGAAACCAACTGACCTACATAGGTGGTTTTTATAGTACTTTATTTTGGCCTCCCTCTCAGCAGGTGTGAAAAAGGCCACCATTTTTGAACGGTAGCGAGGGTCCAACAAGGTGGACAGCCAAAAGTCACATCCCTCTGTCTGATGGTTATTATTCGTCTGTCCGCTACGCAAGCAACCGAGCATGCTATGGGCCATTTGTGCCAAGGAATGCGAGGGACTCCCTGCCTCCATCTCCACAGCATACTGCCACGGTGCGTCTGGGTCCTCTGTCTCCTCCTCCTCCTCTACCAGATGCTCCTGCTCCTCCACTCCTGTCGCTGAGTGGAAAAACCACCCATTTCACTCAATAATTCCTGAGCACCAATGTCCTCCTCCTCTACCTCCTTCCTCTTCTTCCTGTCCTGCCCCACAGGGGTCATGTGGCGTTGAGATCTGTGCGCCACGTCTACCGCACCCTGACCAGCCATTGTTAACAGCATTTGTTCCAGGACGTGCAACAGAGGAATGACGCCGTTCATCCCATAGTCCTGCCGACTCACGAATAGCGTGGCCTCCTCAAAGGGCCTGAGCAAGCGGCAGGTGTCACGCATGAGCTGCCAATGGCTGACATCTAAGTTACACAGGGGACTACCTTTATCCGCTTGTAACATCAGGAAATCGGTGATGGCCTTTCGCTGTTCGTAAAGGCGGTCTAACATATGTAGGGTTGAATTCCACCTTGTTGCACAACGTCGCAGATCAGGTGATGCTGTGGAATTCCGTTCTGCCGCTGCAGCTCAAGGAGGGTGTGCTTTGCGGTGTAGGAATGGCTGAAATGCATGCAAAGTTTACGTGACATTTTAAGGATGTCTTGCAGTGGGATGGTGGATTTTAGGAACCGCTTGACAACCAGACTTGAACACGTGAGCCATGCATGGCGCATGGCACAACCTTCCTTGACGCAGAGCAGACCAATGTTCTTTCCGTTGTCGGTCAACATGGTTCCGATTTTCAGTTTTGCGCGGAGACAGCCATCTGTCGATTTCTCTGTTCATACACTCAGAAGTTCCTCCCCTGTGTGACTACGTTCGCCAAGGCATACCAGGTGCAGCACAGCGTGACACCGTTGCGCCCTGCACATGTGATATGCCGGTCGGGTAATGGGACTTGGCACGGGGTGGGCGGCTGACGGACACGGCGGAAGAAGAGGTGGTAGAGGCGGACATCTTTGCTGGACCAAGGACGTGCAAACGTGGAGGCAAAAGCGGCGTGACCTGTCCAAGTTGCTGGTGCGGCTGTGCCGGCACCACGTTCACCCAGTGGGCCGTAAATGACATATACTGTCCCTGACCGTAGTTACAGCTCCACACGTCGGCACTGCCGTGCACTTTGGCAGAGACCGACATGCTCAAAGACTGGCCCACCATCTCTTCTACATGTGAATGCAGGGCTGGCACTGCCTTTTTGGCGAAGAAATGCCGGCTTGGCACTCTCCACCGCGGCTCGGCACAAGCCATCATTTCTCGGAAAGGTGCTGAGTCCACCACTTGGAAAGGGAGGGACTGCAGCACCAGCAACTTGGACAGGAGGACGTTCAGCTTCTGCACCGTCGGGTGCGTGCTCGCAAACTGTTGTCTCTTGGAAACGGATTCCAAGAAAGACTGCTGACGGAATCCGTGAAGAGGAGAGAAGGAGCATCTGAACGAGCGGAAGATGCCAATGAGCGACAACTCCCCTCAGCAGAGGTGTTGGAGCCTTGACTGGCTGATAGAGGGCGATTGACGTCGGGTGACGGAGCAAGTAACGGAGCGGGTGATGGAGCGGGTGATGGAGCGGGGGCTGGGGCAGGCAGAACCCGCCGTATCTTTATCACGGTTTTCCCAGGCCACCGAATGGCGACGCTGCATATGTGACGCAACGCTGTAGTCCCAACATTGGCCCCCTGGCCACGCTTGACTTTCTGGCCACATAGTCGACATACGGCTACGTTTACTTCCTCGGGCGGCTTGACGAAAATTTTGCCACACACCGCCGAGTAGAAAACTTTGCCCCCGCTACTCCTCACCTGGCTGACTGCTACTTCCTCCGTGCACACCCGCACCACTACTGGCCGTGGTGGTAGGCTGCAAGTGGAGCTGGTGCTCTACTCCGTGGCCGTTTGGCTCCACTGACACTGCTGCGACCCTGCTGCCTCCTGGGCAACCCACCGACTGTTTTGCTCGCTGGCAAGCTGGCACCCTCTTCTCCTGATGATGCGGAAGCAATAGCCTGATGACGACGAGGCTGCCAAGTGCGATCAGCCTCATCATCATCAATTAGGGTCTCCGCGTCACTACTAGCCCCCCTCGGCTGCGTGTGGGTCAGGAGACAGACCTGTCTCTAGACCGGCTACCGAGCCACTCTCCTCGCCAGTACTTCTTCGCCTGGCTGCTGAAGAGGCGGATGTCTCCCCCCCGTTCCTGACCGCCCTCTGTTAGCTCTTCCCTCACTGTACAGTGGGGCTGAGCCCACAGCATGCGATACTTCGCTTGGTGAGGGAACAGCAAAGGACAGGGGCAGGTCGAGGACACGTGATTTCAGTGGGCTTGCTCCCGGGCCATGCCAACTAACGGTTGTGTCTGACGTACCCACCGACCGTTGGCTGTAGGTGTCAGAGGTGACCTGGGAAGAGGAAGACGACCGAGTCAACCAATCGATGACGGCAGGGTTGTCGGTGGAGACACGACCGCTGGATGACACCGGGAGCACTGGCCTCTGGCTGCGACTAGTGCTGCCCTCGACCCCTTCCTCTGCTGCCACGTCTGCTCGCTCCTGAAACATTGCCTCCTCTGCCACTCCTCTGCGTGTTGT